TATATATATATATATATATATATGTGTGTGTGTGTGTATGTGTATATATATAAATATATATACTTATATTTGTATATTAACTCACTTCTATTCTCTTGTTTGTACAATTATTTTCACCAAAGTTTCGTTTTATTTGGTTATAGCTCTGAGTTTAGTAAGCGATAGGATATTTTAAGTACATGTAGAATTAGTGTGCCTTTTAACTTGAGTTCATACGAATTTTTTTTCTGGGCACATACTATAGTGAAGCACCGTCGTTAGATTATCATATGAATCACGTGCTGTCGTGCCCTACTTATTATGTTTACAGGTTTAGTATGCATATATAGTATGTAAGCGTAATGTTTACAGGTTATGTATGCATATGTATTATGTAAGCCATATCAAAAGTAGAATTTTCCATCCTTACCTGTGTGCTCGAAAATACCCAGACAGGCTGAATCAGCGTCAAAAGTTATAGAAGTGGTGTGCAGCTACGCGTAGTTTACATGATCGATCTCGCAGACGACGGCCATTGTTATATCAACTTTGCAAATTCCAGGAGAATGAGTTGAGCATATAGTGCCGTATGTGAACCGGAATAGTAGCAATTCCTTTACGATCCCAACAGATAAGTGCGCGCCAAATAAATTCACCCACAGTCTACCGCAGGCAAAGTCACCCACAGTCTACCATAGACAAATGCACTCGGCACAGCAGGCGACCAATTGACTGGCAATCCAAAGTTGAGTGATGCGGCGATGGGATTCATTGAGTATGCTCTGACAAAAAGGTGTCGTGGATAGTATTGGGATAGCATCCAGCGATGTCGCTGCTATTTGTGGGCGGAGATGGAATTGAGTGACGCGGATGTGTAGAGGGACAATAGGCGAGTCAGCAAACAGAAGGATGTCGATGGAGAGCGAACGGAGAGAAAAGGAGAGCTGATCAATTCGAGAAACCGGAAGATACATTCAAGCACAAGTAGTATGCCGCATGTACCAGTCCAGATTTGGATCTGGGTCACGCGCCGTTGAGTATGAGAGAGGAAAATATAGATCATGTGTCGAATGACTCGAACGACCAAGTGAACAAGGGGGACCAAGGTACTCAACCCGACTCAAACGTTTAGGTAAAGAGTGTAGCGGAAGGCCATTTCATGTAATGCGACGGCTATGCCAGCTAGTGTTGGTTGGTTGGCTAGACTCTCATGGCGTCTTAAAGGTTTGGCGTTTATATGACCAGGTTGCTGAGAGTATGTATGAGTGAAGTAGGAAGAGCAGTCATTCGATGCATTCGCATTGATTGATAAGTCATTGCATATGTTGAGATTGGTGATCGGATGAGTGATGAATCTCCGTCGATATCTTCCCGTTGTCGTAGTTACATGTTCATGAGATAATATCGGTTTCTTTATTCAACTGAGGCGTACGTATAAATAAAGGCCGAGTATCGAGCCGTTGTTATAACAACATAGTGCACATGAGATGCACATGATGGCCAAAATTCCTACTGCAGTGCGTGGGAATATATATCCATATATAGTTCTGTTCAAGCGCATCCTTAAAAACTGCTTAGTAATACGTAAACATGTATATATGATTGATGAATACGATATATAGAAATACAATCCTACACATGCGCACCCTTAAAACTGTGTAACGATGTATGCATATGTACATATGATTGATGAATGTTGTGATTCTTCAATTTAGAAGACTTGTATGTATCACACACTCGGGTAGGGAAAAAAAGTCTCGTGAATGTATATTTCGTGAGTGGACTGAAAAACGACGCTTGGGAGAGCGTCATAGTTACTCGGCTGTTTGAGGTTTGCCAAATAGTAAGGCAGTTCAGTCCACGGTGCATGTCTAGCAGTGTGTATGTGCATATGTATATGCGTGAGTATTAATAGGATGTGCAAGTAGAGGGGGCGGAGCTCTTTCAAACTTATGAATATGGCGAATCTAGCAGAATTCCATCCGGTTTGTGTACATGCTTCACAGTGGCTATGTGATTCCGGTATGCACCCTTGCCTTTCTTTGCCTTAATATATGTCATTGGGCGTTGATGTGTGATTTAGTAGACTATTTGTCGCTTGTATATATTCAACAACAATTACATCGATAGCTTCATACGTTATACTTTTATCAAGTTCCACGTTGAATCTTCGGTCTGTAATGTAGTACAGTTACTCAGATGAAAAAAATTAAGCAATCATTCATTTAGCACGATGGAAGCAACGCACTCCAGGGGTGAGATCACTTAGATTCATGTTTAGATATATATATATATATATTCAAATATATATATATATATATATATATATATATATATATATACTTAATATATATATGTGTGTATGTAGGCATATATATATACATCTATATATATATTGTGGCCGCGGAGCAAGTTAAAAGTGGAATAAACACCTTTGATACACATCACATTACATGGATTTGCGGCATCGACGAGCTGTGTTCGTGAATAATAAATTAGTTTTTCTCACGCTTATGCATTGATCCGATTTCAATCCGTGAATCGTCATAGCGAGATTGTACTCTGTCTGATGTGAATGCACCATTGCAAACCACAGTTTCGTATAGACATTCGCGAGTCAAACCATATTAAGATTGTATTTGTTCATAAGTGGGCTATACACTGAAAGATTGTCTTTATACATCTGTTAACAACTAAAATTTATAAGGATCCGCTCGACTTCACCGACCATCCCAGCTCGATCTGCCGGTTTCAATTTTGCTAGATGCTTGTTTGTGTTTTCTAGCGAATCCGGGTGCACCAGCATCTCCGTGAGCTTGTATGTCATTAGCTCACGGTATATTAGCATCATCGAATCTTTCTTTCGGCACGTCACTTGCGGCTTTCGGTCATACACTGAACTGTGAAATGATTCGTACTCAATTGGAGTTTCTTCAAACTGCACGCGATGCTGACCTCCCAGTCGCTCTCTGAATGACGACCGTTTCTTTTCTACGATGGGCTTCATTGCCTTTTTTGGTTTTCGACCTTTGACTATTAATGGCGGTGTAGCGGGGGAGGCTCCATTCATATATATGAGAGTCTGTAGGGGTGCTGAAGGTAGACTGGCATCCGAGCCCAGGTCACGTGTATGTGCAGATGAAGGTAGCGTGGAGAGTACCAGTTGCTGGGTGACGAGAGAAGTGCTCGACTCCGGCATGCGACGCCGAGCAGAATTAGAAACTCTGTAGTTGCTACTGTGTGTGCCATCCGTTGGAATTCTCGGGCTGTTAACCGGAAATAGGTGAGCCAGCCAATTTGTATCTTTAGCATGTTTCTTTTGTGGCAAATTTATGCTCTCCTCGGAGGTGACTTCACTCTTCATCGCCGAAAACAGGGATGCTGAGTGACGTGGGGTAGCTTCCGACAGAGTATGTACCACTGAAGTCTCACGAGCTACGGGTGCGTTGCTGGTCGATTCTGCCGCCGAGAGCCTACGAGTACGAGAGAGCGTGTGAGGCGATACATTTGCGCGATTCCTTAGACACCGTCCTGATTGGGTACGCACAAGAGGCGATACATTTGCGTCATTCCTTAGACACTGTCCTGATTGGGTACGCCCAAGAGGCGAACGGCTAGCCGAATTTACACTGGCTGACGAGTGGTTTGGGGTTCGTGGCTGTATTTGTGTAATATGTTTTCGATACGAGCCTGTATTGGAACGCGCGACAGGTGAATGACCAGCTGATTTCGAATGGGGGATGTCGTGTGTCACGTATAGTTCTTGTAGCATTTTCAACTTTCTAATCTGTGGGCCTTCTCTGAAGTCGTTAGGTCGTGCATAGCTGAGAACTGAGTCATTTGACTGAAAGTCTATAGAAAAGTCCATCGATCCTGACGAGTTCGGCACCCACTCGGTGGATGGCTGGGATACGTCAGGTAGGTGCAACTGTTTGGGAGCAACATGCATGGCTTTAGCGTTGCGCTTCTGCACATTCTCGATGCGGTTCTTTTTCTTTGAGCCACCATATTGATGGAAGTACTGTATTATTGTTTTGACTAATACCATAATGTATGTTTATAAAGAGGAGACAGTTATGTATGAGCCTTAAGCGCGGACACCTCGAGTTCATATATGTATAAATATTGACAAGGAAAATTGTTCAAATGGGAGTTTTCAGTTTTGTTTTGTTTTGTAAAAGATGTAACCATACTTCATGTTCACAGTCGCTTCAAAAGTCAAAGCCCTCTCTCTCGTGCGTTTGGCCGTGTGCGGACGTGTGCCGTTTTTCTTCTGTTGAGTCATAACTCTTTGGGGAGCATTATGATGTGTTCGGAGCATTATCATTTTTTTAATCATTTCATAAATTCCAATAACAATATGTCAAAATGAACGGCTAAACGGTAGCATATCGTGTTCCTGTATTGGGGCTTGACCGCTTGGTCCTTGGGACCTTGGGCCTTTGCCTTTTCTATTGCTCTTGTATCAATACTGAGGACTGGGGACTGAGGGTCACCATATTAGGGCTAAATAAAGTTTTTAGGTTCTAATGATAAAAAAAGGTTTTTGTTTTAAAACAATAAAAAAAGAACACAATAACATATTTTAGACGGACCTGGTCCTGGCCTGCTGCGCCCTGCGGCTGGAATCTGGAATTCTGGATGCTGTGCAGTGTACAGCTGGCTGGGTTGTATGCGACAACGACATTCACCTGAAAAAATGTCGTCGCGACATGTATGGCATGTCGTTTGCCCAAATATTGGCGTCGTTTACCAACCCAGATAGCTGGAGGCCTGGAGCCTGGAGAATACTGGCAATTCATTTTTTTCTGGCTTGTTTAATTTTGCACAACAAATAGTCAAATAGAATACCTAAATCAAAAAACAAACAAAACAAAATAACAAAATAACAAATTTTATGTATAAAATAGTAAAAATAGTAAATCTACTCCGTTAAGTGTTAGAGCTTGAATGCTCATTATGTCTATTGGATGCCCAATAGTCTTGCTCTGGCCGAGAGAAGTCTGAAGTACTGAATACTGAATAATTATTTACTCAGTACTGATGTCTGATTCAGTGATTCTCATATTCTGATATTCACTCATGTATCCAATACAGATTCTAATATTCAGTGATATTTACTTCAGTGTTTTTGTTTTGTTTAACACCCCCCCCCCAACTGATTTCTTGTCAGAGTGTCAGACTCTGGAGCACAGAAGCAAAGCTCAATCCGTTAATGGTATAAAGAATAAAAGCTGAACGGATACGTATACTGATTCGTTTTGAAAACGTTACAAAGTTTCACAGGTCAAAATAGAAAACGAAATTCTCAAATTCGCACTCAACATGTAAACCTAAAATCTAACGAAATGTACTATATGGCAAATAGCGACCAATGAATACAGTTTAAGACAATTTGATGGCCTGGGAATTGCACCACTTCATATTTCAAAGGGCTATATACAGAATTAAAGTTGAACGGAAACGTTTTCTGATTCATTTTGAAAAAGTTAAAACGGGAAACTGAATAGAGCTTGTCGAGTGGTCTACGCGCGCGTCACGCCCGTTGATACGTTGAAAGGCACAGAGCTGGGTTGGTAAACGACACCGAAATTTATCTAAACGACATGTACGACGTGTCGGCCGACATGCTGGCAGTCGTCGTTGTACAGTGTCGTCTGTACCAATTATGCCGACATATGGTTTTTCATTCAAAATTGGTTCTCTAAGCCAATGAGATTGCAATAAAAGCCAATGAGGTTCGTGAATACAAATTTTCACAATAATTTAGGATGCACGTCAAGGATTTGCAAATATGAAATATTTAAATATCCAGGACACTTGACAGTTGACAATAACAAAAGTAGAAATAGTAAATACACAACCCGAAAGTCAAAGTGCAACATTGATACATGCACATTAACAATTATCATATTCTGTGGTTGTTAATTTGATATGTAAACTAAATAGGTAAATATATAGTATTGTAACAGCTTTTTGCGCGGCTTTTATGCTTTCTCATACAATCCAAACCTCAAGCTTTGAAGCTATAGGTATAATGATATTATGAGTGAAGTGGTTCGTAAAACGGTGATCAATTGTCATGTTTATTGATTGTTTGAAACGAATTGTGTTAGCATCTGTAAAAAGTATTTAATCATGGTGGTGCGTCGTCGACAAACAACAGTCCAAGATTACACAATACACAACAAACGACTACACAATGCGCCCATCCCAACCATACTTTTGCGACGAGCAGGGCAAGAAAGTACTCCAAAGCGACCGTTACAAATATAATAGTCAAAAAAAATATTTCATCAGTATATTGAGAACAGTACGGGTGGTCCTACTGACCTGGCCTACTGCACCCAAATTCTTATAGGGAGGACCGGCACTAACATGTCAGTGCCGACATGCTGGCAGGTGGGTGTCGTAGTTGTCGGGTGCCTGGCCAGGCACAGAGTTACAGTCCCATAACTCATAGACGGTTAGACCGACTTCTCAAAATTTGGCCCAGTCACCGCCTGTATCGCGTGTAAACAATACATATTTATCAAGACGGAATAATAATAAAACTAAATAAATATCATAGCCCTCTAAATACACGCGAATGGATGTAAATAAAGTAGTTGTTGCGTTACATATTTTTTAAATATACAACGTAAATATTTTCAAAAAAATATTATTTGCATGACCCTCTCAGCCTCTCTAATATATACTCTCTAGCTCTCTCTATAGAGAGAAGAGTGTGCTGTGTGGACTCTCTCTCTATTTATTTTTGTAAATACCACATACTAGAGAGTCTACTTACTACTAGAGAGTAGATCGGACTTATGTCCGATTATTTCAAGGCTCTCCGGATGTGGGCGTCTGCTAAATTTAAAAAATATATGATTTGTCGTCGGAAGAAACCTGATTTCTGCTCGCGACCCTTTTTTTAAAATAGATCCAGACGGCCATAAATATTTGCTTGCTTTTTGGCATAAATTACGAACATCACGTCTACATCTGCGATTTTACGTTTTCTTTTTTTTTTCTCAGCTTGCGCCTTGCGGCCTTGCGAGTTGTGAGTTGTGTGACACTCTCTCCTTGTGAGTTTGTTGACTCAAGACTGTCGTGTATTGCGGCTCAAGAATTTATTACTCTCGGAATGTCACCGGGTTCAGGCCTTCAGGGTGCCGGTGGATGGTGGACTGCCGGGTTGGTGATATATTTTTTGTTTTATAAAAAGAAAATGAAAATACATAAATACATACGTAGGTAATAAATATAAACAATAAACATACTTGGGATAGAATTCCATCAATGAACTAGCGTCGATATTAGAGTAAATATTTGCGCATTACGTGTGAAATTTGCATTCGCTAAATAATCAGAATCACTGATAACAGAGATGCCGCTTATGCGTGAGGTCTATAGTCCAATACAGTCAGTCGTCAGTTCGCTCGTCACTGACGTCAGTCGTCAGCCGACAATATTTATTGACTGATATATTTATATTTGTGATTTGTCCCAGTGCACCATAATAAGTCCACAACCTGAAGTCCTGAAGTCCTGAAGTCCTGAAGGCTGGTCTTGAAGTCCTAAACCGCCACTCAGAAATGAGAAAATGGCTGGACAAGTTTCAGCTCTTTCACTTTGTTTTGGAAAAAAAAAAATCATCATTGAAGGTGTGCTGTGGAGTCCCTCTTTCGATTATTGGAAACCTGGATTCTGTCTGGAAGGCTTTCCCCCATTTGTGATTCGTAATATGCCCCCAAGGGGACCCATGAAGAAATTACGTACATTTTTTGGAGATTTGTTAAGACTGCGAAGGATTCGGTCTATTAAGGCGGTATTAACGCCTTCGAGTAAATAAACGCGTAGGTAAATTCTAAGTATCGAGTAAATATCAAAGTAAATAAACGAAATGTGACTTTTAATAAAGTTAGGTATGCCTCGTGAAAACAGCAATACTCTGAGGGATTGTGAGGCTGAGACATTGCCTATATATAATCCTCTCAGTACTGTTTCCGCCGAAGGGATTTTATTTAGTGTTTCGTTGTCGCTCTATTAGAAACTATGGTATGTTTCACTGGGGCGAATCCGAGAGACTCATAAAGTTCTATCTTTAGAAAAAAAAATACTCTTGATGTCCTTAGTTATTGTCTTAACCAATAAA